TAATCATCAACATTAAAAGAAATAAACATTTGAAATATATCAGCCTGTGTGTAATGAATGAATATAATATACAAGTTTCACTTTTTGAACAGAATTACTGAAATAAATCAACTTTTTCATGATATTCTAATTTTATGACCAGCACCTGTATTTTCCTGCTGCGTTACTCGTTGCTTTAAAGTGTCTCAACGTCTAAAAATATGCGTCATGTTGACGTCGGACGGTCTAATCTTAAACCGATTTATTCGTTTTCTACTTTTGCCTTTTTGGCTCAGGTGTGTGCCTCTCTGTTTCCGGAGACTCCGCTCGTGCCGTTGCCTTAAAAGACAGATTACGGAGAGTTGACGAGTCAGTTGAAGTTTAAAGTTGATGACGGTGCTCGCTGAGGTCTGGCTGCATCTCTGGGGAGTGATTTGATTGGCTGATCGTTAAGCGAGCACTTTAATAGGAAGGATGACCTCAGCAGCAGCTTGGCAGCAGAATGACTCATCTAAATTAAAAAAAAAAAATTTAATCAAATAGACAAAATGTAATCAGAAATTCTATATTTAGATTCATTGTTTCCAAGTTACTGAGTTTGTGTCTGCTGAGCTCTTACTTGCTTTTGTGGTCAATTTGTTTTATTCCATTAAACATGTAAAGGTAGGATGGAGGTGGATCTGTAGTTTGTGTTTTTCGCAGCCCTTCACTGTAATCGCAGTAAAGAAACGACAAGCAGGGTCCGAACAGGACTTGTCTCATGGGTGGAGGCTCACATAACCCCTTTGTGCGTAGCTAAATGTGCATTATTAGACGTGCTTGTGGATGCGAGCATCCATTGAATTCCTTTTCACTAAAAACGTCTCAAACTACTAAAACGTTATCAATAAAATCTGAAAAGTCAAGCCTGTAAGAGACAGGAAGCCAAAGAAGCAGCGTTTTGTAGCACCTGAGAGCGATGGAGAGACGACTGATCGGTGCCAACGGCTGTAAAGATGAAGCCATTTTTGTAGTTTTTAAAGTCAGTTGGCTGATGGGGCCGTTTCGAATCATCTTGACTCCAAAAGGTTGTAGATAAACGAGGTTTTAACCATTTAGGTCTAAAGTTTAATTGAATGAAATAATTTAATCCTCCACTTCTGACTTTTTTTGTGTGTGTATTTAGTTTCTTATCGTTTCCTCCACCAGATTAAAAGTGCTAAAACAAATAAATGCGCTGAAAGGATATGATTACGCAAAACGTTTGACTTTAGTGCTTCTGCTCGCATGAGTCTGAAGTGAAAAAAAGACTTCTTCGTGTTCACGGTAGCCTTGAAGTGCCAGAAAGTGCACGTTAAGCATAAATACGCTGAAGCTTCCTGCAGGAGCAGCCTGTGAGTCACATAGATGGTTTAACACTCTGCTGGGCTGAAGATAATAATGTTTAGGATTGAATCACAGCTGAGGAGATGATCTCAGCTGAAGCCAGTCAGTTCTACAGATAATCCATCGGCGGGTCATGATTCAGACGTGTCTTATCTCTCAGCTGTTTATGTTTTATTGAGGTACTGGCGGTGAAAATGTGCACGCCTGATAAGAAATCAGAAGCACACGTCATAAAAATCATCTCAGGCTCAGCAGACATAGAGTCAAGTTCATGTAGCTTAAACAGAAATCATATAAAATGTTAAAAAGTGAATATAAAGTTATCGTCTCGTTCATTTTTTTAGGCTTCTGAAGAAGTTCTAATCTGCTTCAATAATGGAGCTTGAAATTCCTAAAAGATTGTCTTAGCTGAGAACACCAAAATGGTCTTAAGCAGTAAAATGATTACCTAAAAGCTAAAGCAAAGTCTAAGCTAAAAAGCTAAGTAAAGGGCTACCTAAAAGGTATAAGTGCAAAAATGTTAGCCACAAGCTGAAAAAAGCAACAAAAAAAAGTAGAAGTATCAAAAGCCTAGCTAAATGTAAGAAAGGCTTATCTAAAGTAAATGTAGCAAAATGATAGCTGTTCAATAAAAGTAGCTAAATGATAGTTATAAGCCAAGATTAGCTCAAAGCTAAATGTAGAAATTATATCTAAAAGAAACAATACAGTAGTAAGAACCTAAAAGTAGCCAAAGCTTAGCTCAACACCAGCTAAATGCTGTGAATAACAAAATGCTAGCTAAAACCAGCGAAAAATTTTACCTAAAAGCTAAATGTAGTATAAAGCAAACTAATAGTAGCAAAAGGCTTACTTTAAGCTAAACATAGCAAAATGTTAGTTACAAGCAGCAAAGTTGGTTAAAAGTTAAATTTAGAAAATTTCTAGCTAAAAGTAGCAAAAGGTTAGCTATAAGCAGTTAAAGGTTAGCTTAAAGTTGAAAGTGCTAGAATGCCAGCTAAAACCAGCAAAATGTTTACCATGAAGCTAAATGTAATAAAAGGCTAGGTAAACATAGCAAAATAGTAAGCAGAATCTGAAAATGGGCAAAAAATATGCTAAAAGTATCAAAAGCCTAGCTAAATGCCAAATGTAGTAAACAACTTGCTAAAAGCTAAACATAGCAAAATGGTAACTGTTTGATAAATGTATTATAACATCAGCCAAAACCAACAAATTGTATGTTAAAAGTTAAAATAGCAAAAGGCTAGCTAAACTATCAAGACTAGCTAAATGCTAAATGTAGAAAAGTCTTACTAAAAAACTTATCGAACCGATCTTTTGGTCTTTTGGTTCCTTTAAAGTAAATGTTAGCAAATTTAAAATAAAACGAAAGTGACTGTGTCTGCTTTGAAGTGTAAGGTTGGTTCCAAGAACAGTAAGCCGTTGACTTGTTGCTCTCATGTGAGCAGCCATGAACGCCTCCGTTGTCACTCTGGATTAAATTTTTCTGTCCGGTTTTGGGACGGTGGCCAGCAGGGATTAATGTAGATCCAATCCTGTGACGCTCTAAAGCATCAGGCCAGCACGGACTGCTGCGCCGAACCAAACCCCTCCGCCAATAATCAGGTTAACGAGGTAAAATAAGCGTTTAGAGGCGACTTCATAATTTATTTAACTACATCACTGTGAAACATGTTTGTCAAATAAATAAAGCAACAACCAGTAATTTACTCTGAGACTCTGTTTTTACAGTAAACTCCTTTATTACAGGTTTCACTGGAACGTTGAATTGTTTTTCTTTTTCATGTATTTAAAAATTAAATTGAACTTTTTGTGAACGCTAGGTCAGCATTCACACCAATTCCCTTTTTTGTAGTTTCCTCTGTACATTTTTATTTTTGTTTTTGTGCAGTTTAACTCTGCATACTTTTTTGTGCAATCAGGATTTGTTAGTGATGACTGCTGTTTTTGTGTAACTGTTACACTTAAAAATATTTAGCTTTGACAGAAACGTATCAGCTCTTCAGTTCCTCGTAGTTCTTTTGCCTTTTTTCTAATTTTAGCATTAAGCTACAATTTTACCATTTTTAACATCTAGTTACTGTCTACTTTTAGCTACCGTTTGGCTTCTTTTAGCTAAAAGCTACCCAGTGTTTCCCCTACCATTATACAAGCAGCGTGCCCCACCCTGTCAACAAAATTGAGCGCCCTGCCTACCGAACCGAAACACCTCCCCACACCCCCGTCCACAACTGTCAGCACTGACGTAGCGCTAAACTAGCAGCACGCTAAAGTAGCAAGAGGCTAGCTGAAAGTAGCAAAACACTACCTCAAAGCTAAAGTAGCAAAACCGAAGTTAAAAGGAACAAAAGCTAGTTAAAACTTAAAAGAAGCAGAAGGATAGCTGGGAGCTAAAAGTAGCTAAAGACTAGGTAAAGGTAACAAAATATGAGCTAAAAGTAGCCAAAAACTACCCCAATGCTAAAGTAGCAAAATTTAAGCTGAAAGGAAGCTGAAAGGTCTAGTTAAAACTTAATAGAAGCAAAAGGCTAGCTGGGAGCTAAATTAGCAAAAGAGTAGGCAATACAGCTAGCGCTAGCCCACTCGAAAACTGTCAGTGCAAACAGCGCACAACACAGACGTGTTTCTGTCACCATTGTTCCCCACTCCGACAAAAATCACAGGAGGGACGAGCGCCCTGCCAAAGCCAGTAATGTAGGGGAAACACTGGAACTTACCGCTTCATGCTTTTAGCTTCTGCTGCTTTTAACCTGCAGCTTCCATTTTGCTACTTTGAGCTTTTAGCCACAATTCATTTGCTATTAGCAAATATTTTGCTACATTAAGCTTTTAGCTATCATTCTGCTAAGTTTAGCTTTTAGCTACAGTTTAGCTTTTTTGCTTTTATCTGTTGTTTTGCTTCTTTTAGCATTTAGCCACCGACCTGCTTTTACCTACAGTTTTGCAAACGTTAGCGACTGGTTGCATGTTCTGCAGCGACGGGAGCTTGGTTCAATATTTTTCTTGCTACTTTTAGCTACATTTTTGCTAATGTTAGTCCCTGTTTTGCTCATTTTATATGGTGCTTTGAGTTGTTGTTCTGCTTCCTTTAGCTTGTGTTTTGCTCATTTTAGCCTCTGTGTTATTGTTTTTAGCTGCTGTTTTAAAATTTGAGCCTCTTAAGCAAATTTCTGCAGTCATTCAGTGCTTCCACGTGCACTTTCTCCAGTTCCCGTCTAACGGTAGTGAAAATCTTTAATCTCCGGGCGAGCTGTGCGTCTCGTTCTGCAGCCGGAAGTGAAAATAAGAGCGTGCGTTATTGGAGTGAAAGCAAACGGAGCGGTTCCTTAATGAAATCCAGGGCGGGGCTGTTTGCTCAGAGCTTGTCTCTTCGCCTCCATCCTGAACAGTGACAGCCCTGTGTCCGGGGGAAAGTGTGTGTGTGTGTGTGTCGGCACCACACTCAGACACACACTCGTCACACAGAGGCAGCTCTCATCTCTTCACCTGAGTAAAATCTGCTGCCCTCCTTTAAAACAGCATCAATTTAACTGCATCAAACTCGTGCCCAGAAGTCGAAGATTCTCTGTGCTGACGTTATAAAGCTACTTTTTTTTTTCTAGAACATGTTCCCAAGAGAGTTAAAATGTCTCCATCTTTGTGTTTTTTACCAGGATTCGTCCCCAGCTGGCCAAAGAGAAAATCGAGGGCTGTCACATCTGCACGTACGTGATGCCCGGAGAGCCACAGGTGGTCCTGGGTAAGGACAAGGCCTTCACCTTCGACTTCGTCTTCGACATGGACACTCAGCAGGACAACATCTACACCCACTGCACCGAGAAGCTAATCGAGGGCTGCTTCGAGGGCTACAACGCCACCGTCTTCGCATACGGACAGGTCGGTCTGCAGGCCGTTTTGTACGCACGCGTGCATTCAGTGGCGTTTTGATTTTTTGATTTTTTTTTTTTAATTTGGTAGAAAATGTCATTATTGCTAATATTTATTATTTGTATTATTATCATTAATGTTTATTATTATTATTATTTCCAAAAAGACCACCAGCACACTGACCTAAAGTGGTGTCTCCAGGTGATGATGCCATTTTTAAATGTAGGGGGGAAATTCAGGCTAAGATTTACAAAAGCATCGCGTCATTTGCAGGTTTTCAGCATCCTGCTAATTCTTTGCAAAGGGAGAAGTGCGCCTCAAACTGTGCTACACCACCTCTTGGCACTGAGTGGCGGGCACAGTTCTGCTAATCCACTTATAGTGGAACTAATTTTTTGGTTAGCGGATTAGATTTTTCACTAACTTTGAAAATCGTTAGCGGAATTAGCTTCCGCTAAATTAGGTATCGCCAACAAAATTCACAAGCTTGTTCGAGAGTCCTTTAGGCACGCTATTGGCTGACTACGTGTACACGTGACAAGATGATTGTGTGACGCAGACTGAGCGACAGTCTTAGCTGTTAGCGGTTTATCGTTAGCTTCCACTATTTTTTTTTTTTTAACCTGTTTTTCGGTTTAGCGTTCGTGAAGTCGATTTTTTAATTAGCGGAGTATGGGTTAGTGACGCTAACTTTTTGGTTAGCTGTGCCCACCACAGGGCACCGACAAAGTTCTCCCACATTTTGATTAGATGTTTTTAAAGCTTTTAGATGAGAACTCAGCCTTATTAATGAAAATAATGTTGCGCCTATAAGCACCTGGTTCTCAGAGACCAGTGTTGTTCGCAACGATCAGTTAGCCGGTGGCAGCTCATGAGCAAAAACATTACAGTTTGCGTTACATTTTCTGCAAAAAAGATAAAATATACGTTGCCTAATATTTGTTTTTTTCAGTGCACCAAGGACCTGTATTTAATTTATTAAGCAAAAATAAAATAATTCAGTAATGTTCAAGATAAAATGTGCAATGCATGTTTGCTCCTTTAGCGTCATTAGCTCATCTTTAGCTCCATTTGTTTTGTGAATACGACGTAGCAGACTGGAGGCGCAAATGATGCACAAAAATCAAACGTTATGTACCGTAAATCCAGCCCGAGTTATCGATTTATGACAAATTTCAACTTTTTTATATGGGACTCTTTTGGGTCAAGAGACTTTTTGTAGCTTGTCTGCCTTGTTCACGTATTCTCCAACTTTTCTACGTTTTAGTTTATTTGTCGTTGATTACAACCATTTTTATACGCCCATCGAAAGGCGGGCGTATTATAGTCTCCGTCCGTTTGTAAACTTCCCTTGTCCTGCTCACAACTTCTGATTTGCTCTGCTCGTGATAATTTAACAAAACATTTTACACAAAAGCATCATCACTAGACAGAGTGTTGCATATATTTTTCATGAGCCCAGCTTCATGGTCAAGGTCACAAATCAAGGTCAAAGTTAAAACAAGGTGTTTGCTTTTTTTTTGTACCTTAACTTTTAAACTGTTCTGAAAAATTTAATGAGACTTGATTGAAACATCTGTTTCATCACGGTACGTGTCGCATAATCTTTTCATCACTCCAGCTCCAAGGTCACGGTCACAGATCAAGGTCAATGATTCAAAGAATGATTGCCATTTGCCATTGCTCTAGATTGCTGTTTTGCTGGATAATAGTTAGGCCTGTCACAATAAACAATAATCAATTAATCGCATGATAAATTAAAATTATCAACCTCATTTTCATTTATCAGCTTTATCGTTTCTTCGTGTCTCTCTCTTTCTACTGAAGACACTCGATGACAAAAGGCTCAACTCCGATGCTCTCCACTAACCCCTCCCTTTCTCTTTAAAATATGTTTTAACCATCCAAAATCGCGTTTTTGGATCGCTAAAAGCAGCTAAGCTGGGAAGCTAAGCTACGAGCTAAGCTAACATTCCGACCTCGGTAAAAAAACCTCCGTCTTTTCAAAGCTCCAAAAATTCACGTTTGAAACCAGTGCCTTTGTGTAAAAAGTAAGCTTTGTGTGAGAATTGCTATGCTAAAGATCTCAAACCACACCGAGCGTCCGCCATTTTGAGAACCAAAAAACAGGAACAAGACACAGCCCACGTCACGTCAAGGGGCTTCCCTCCCGTTTTTTTTAAAAGCGACACGCTGCTCGCTCCCTCACTATCCATCCTTCAGTTCAAACCGTCTTATACTGCCGTCCAGTGGTCAAAAAAGGTACGACACACAAATTGACCAACATTTCTTCTTAAATTTGACAATAATGACTAATTATTGTCAAATTTCAAACAATATTATCGTTTATCGCAATAATTTCTGAGACAATCGCCCAGCAAACTTTATCGTGACAGGCCTAATAAAGTGTGTCAGCAGACGAATGTGCTGTAAGCAGTGTAGTAAAAAGTTAAACATAAATGTTGTGTATGCAGAAAAAGCAAAACGAAGTTGAACAAAAACCTGTAGGGAAAACTTTTTTTTTTTTTAAATACTAGCTTTTATTTGCAAATGAACTTTTCGAAGAAACTGCACATAGAAGGAATGCATCGTCGGTCTTTGAAAAGAGATGGAAACACTCTTCCTTACTCCCCTTCGTTCAGCTCTCCCCTCGTCTTCTTTCTGCTCATTATTCTCTCCGCAGCGACTCTTGTCCCTCCTGTCAAAGAGCCTTTCACGGGCTGCGAGGAGACTCGCACATCCACACAAAGAAAGCGCAGACAATCACGCAGGTGTGGCCTTTTTAAATCAAGCGCACACATCCTTTAAAGTTTTTCTGAGGGGGGTTTGGCAGGGAACCAAAATGGGATTCCTCTTTTTCATCATTCCATGATGATCACCCACCCCCCCAAACTAGAGCAGCCCAAACTCTCTTCCAGTCCCGAGTCTGAAAAATGTTTGACCAGATGAAACGTTTTCTACACAAAATGCATGATCTTTGATCATCCAGACAGGTTCGGGGAAGACGTATACTATGGGAACCGGCTTCGACGTCAACATCGGCGGGGACGAGCTGGGCATCATTCCCCGTGCCGTCAACCACCTGTTCAGAGGCATCGAGGGGCGCAGGCGGGCTGCCACCGAGCAGGGCAGCCCCGTTCCCGAGTTCAAGATTAACGCTCAGTTCCTGGAGGTACAGAAACGCACACCGACCGATCACAAGTGGGGGAGTTAATCCAAGAAATTACCACCACATTAAAACAATTTGCACCGCACAGTCTGAGCTCCAAACTCAAAGTTCCTTAATCGAGGTCAAAGGTCAGAGGAGGGTCGTCGGCTCCTGGCTTTGTTTTAACTGACAACAGTGATGAGTTGATGGAAAGAAATCATTCTGTTTTGGTCATACCTTCTGTTTATTTATTTTTTATTCCAACTTTCCAGCTGTACAACGAAGAGGTGCTGGACCTGTTCGACACAACTCGAGACCTCGAGGTCAGGAGGCAAAAGTCAAACATCAAAATCCACGAAGACGCCAATGGGGGCATCTACACGGTGGGCGTCACCACCCGCACCGTCACCTCAGCAGCCGAGGTCAGCCTTCACCCTCCGACCTGAGACTCAAAGAGTCCGAATTAAATCACCGGGAAACTGATGTCACTGTTTAGGTCCTTTCTTTTGAAGTCCCCTGACCTCGTGTTTTATTCCTCTTTAATTGGGTACTTACCTGCTGCTGCTGTTGTTGTTGTTGTTGTTGTTGTTGTTGTTGTTGTTGTTGTTGTTTGTGGTGGTGGTGGTAGCTCTCTGACTGATTTTTGAGAAAATAGTAAATTCTGACTGGGTGTTGGAAACAACTGGTAGTCAGAACTGAATTAAGACCTAATTGGATTAAAATAACTCCACCCTCATTCATCTAGCATCAACAACTAGCTTTAGCACTTCTGGTGCCGCCTGGAGTACTTAAAACAGGAATATCTGGTAGAAATACATAATACAGCCCAGTACACACCAGGTGGTACGTGCCTAGTATTTACGAGGACTGAGCTGTTTATAATGTAACTTGTTAAATTATACTTGCAGGTTAAGTACTTATGCAGTACAGACCGTAAGTACTAGACACCTACCCTATACTACCTTGTACATATCCAGTACATACTTGGTACTTAATTGGTAAGTATAATATATATATTAGGTTTACCCTGTAAGTATCAGGTACGTACCTACATATCATGTATATTTTTTGGGGTAAGTACCAAGTATGTACAAGGTTTATAACTTGTAAGTACCAGTTATGTACCAAGTATGTACCATGCAGGTACCAGGTATTTATTTGGTAAGTACTAGGTACATACCAGGTTTGTACCTTGTAAGTACGAGGTAAAGACCAGGTTTGTAACCCATAGGTAGCAGTTAGTACCATTAATGTACTCTGCAAGTACAAGTTACATGCAAGGTATGTACTGTGTGAGTACTAGGTATAAAACCAGGTTTGTACTCTATAACTATGAGGTACATACCCTGTGAGAACAGGGTATATAGTTGTTAAGTACCAAGTTTGTACCTTGAAAATACCATTTATGTACCAAGTATGTACCATGCAGGTACCAGTTATTTATTTGTTAAGTACTAGGTACATACAAGGTTTACAAACTATAGGTGCCATTTAGTACCAGGTATTTACCCTATAAGTATAGTTATGTAGCATGTTTATACCATGTAAGTACCATGTATTTATTTAGTAAGTACCAGGTACTAAAATAGATTTATACCAGGTACAGACCAGGTTTGTAACGTACAAGTACCAGTTAGTAGCAGATGCGTATTCTCTAAGTACTTGTTAATTACCAAATTAATACCTCATCTTTACTCAGTACAAACTTGGGGCACTTACCAGATAAAAAACAGGTTTGTACCCTGTAAATATGGTAAGTACCAAGTACAAAACTAGGTCTGTACTCTGTAAGTACCGGGTACTACACTGTTAAATTCAAAGAGACATCTGCAACAGGGAGGATATTGACTGTTTATAATCTTTCTACAGAGCCTCACTCTAAAAGAGCTGAACTGTCCTTTAAAAGCACTTTTCTTCAGCTGTTTTGCACAGAGGAGGGCGATTCATGATTTGGGCTCGGGGATTCACCACTGATGAGAAATAATTCCTGTCACAGATTGAGGGATGAAGAATGGATTCAATGAAAGTGTCCATGTTAAAGATAAACTCAAATATATTACAGTAAAGCAGCCATCTTTCATTTGTTGTTTGATTTTTGTAAATGTCAGCCAAATCCTTTAAAGCCGTTTGACGTTCCAAACTGACTTTGCTACAACTCGTTTGCCTGGAACACATTTGAAAGAATGCACACGTTGTCAGTAATCCGTCCCCGTCCCCCCCATGTCTCCTCTGACAGATGATGCAGTGTCTGAAGCTCGGCGCTCTGTCTCGCACCACAGCCAGCACCCAGATGAACGTCCAGAGCTCGCGCTCCCACGCCATCTTCACCATCCACCTCTGCCAAGTGCGGGTCTGCTCCCCCGATAACAGCGTAGGTCCTCAAACACTGAACGCCCCGCCGGGAGCTCCGCAATTTCCACGTTTGAAATGGAGCTTCTGTTGTTTTCTTATCCAGGATCACGTAAATGAACACCCTGCGAGCAATTCGGAGATTAACGAGTTTGAGACGCTGACGGCCAAGTTTCACTTTGTGGACCTGGCTGGTTCTGAGAGGCTGAAAAGAACCGGAGCTACAGGAGACCGAGCTAAAGAGGGCATCTCTATAAACTGTGGACTGGTGAGGAGGCAGCAAACAAACCGAACTGTAACAGCGAAGCTCGTTTTCATGAATCTCTCCGGGCAGAGACTTCGGTAGATCAAGAGCTCCTCCTGCCGCCCAGATCGAGAATTACACTTAATAATGTGAACGTTTATGATTCTCGTCAGTTTTCAAGCTATTTCAACAAATCATAAATCAAAACGTTCGGCTCTTTCAGGACAATCCTGCTACGACTTTTAGTATTGGTGCAACTATCTTTTTGAAATATTTACCCTTTTCTGCCGTTTTTTTTTCTCAAAGAAAAATGAATTGAGCTCATTTTACATCCTACAACCTTTTTCTGCTCCTTTCACATTTTGTTCTGCTTCGGCTTCTTTCAGCTTCCCTTATGCAAATTTTGGCTACTTTCAGCTGTTTTTTCAGCTGTTCTGTGATCCTCTTAGATTCTTTCTAACTACAACATTTTTGTGCTTCTTCTAATTTATTTCTGCTAATTTCAACTTATTATGCTCCTTTTAACTTTTATGCAAGTTTCAGCTTTTTCTGCTATTTCAGCTACTATTTAGCTGTTTATATGATAATTTTGTATATATTTTTTTGGGGGGGGTGTAATTTTACATTTTTTTTGCACTCCTTTCAACTTTCTTCAACCAAAGTTGGCAAGAATGTGCTCTTTCCACTTCCTTCTGGTAATTTAAGCTTATTTCTGCCTTTTTTTTTAGCTACTTTTGAACCATTTTGGGGGGGAGCAAATTTTTTGCTTTTTTGTGCTCATTTCTGCTTCTTTTATCCTAATTGGGCAAACATGTTCTTTCTGCTTTATTCTGCTAATTTAAGCATGTTCTAACTTTTCAGCTGCTTTTGAACTTTTTTTTAGCTAATTTCAGATAATTTCGAGTTTTCAGGTTAATTTCTGCTATTTTCAGTTATGATCGTTTCAGCTTTTTTCTGCTACATTCAGCCTTTTCTGCTATTTCAGCTACTATTTAGTTTTTGGTAATTTTAGCTTTTTCAGCTAATTCCACATTTTTTAACTAATTTCAGCGCTTTCCACTTCCTTCTGGTGGTTTATGCTTCTTTTTGGCTTTTCAGCTACTTTTCAGCTATTTTGTTGCTAATTCCAGCTGTTTGTAGCATATAAATTTTGTGCTCACTTCTTATTTAAACCAAATTCATCAAATATGTGTTCTTTCTGCTTTCTTCTGCTAATTCATCATTGTTCTTCCAGTTCAGCATGTTTTTTTTTTAGCTAATTTCAGCAAGTTCTTCAGCAATAAGCATTCACACTGCATTTTTGCAGGAAATGCGATTTCTCTAGTTCGTTTTATATGTTTATTCTAAACTCTGACATTTTGATGTCGTGCCTCAGCTCGCCTTGGGAAATGTCATCAGCGCTCTGGGAGACAGAAGTAAGCGCTCGACCCACGTGCCTTACAGAGACTCCAAACTCACCCGGCTCCTGCAGGACTCGCTGGGCGGCAACAGGTTTTTTTGGGGGGCGGGGCGTTTAGCTGCGAAAGCACAAAAATATTCAGGTGCAAATAAACTGTCGGAGAGTTTGATTTGTCCGTTTTCTAACTTGCAAGTCAAACCATGATGATCGCTTGCATCAGCCCATCGGACCGGGACTTCATGGAGACCCTGAACACCCTGAAGTACGCCAACCGGGCCCGAAACATCAAAAACAAAGTGGTGGTGAACCAGGACAGAGCCAGCCAGCAGATCAGCGCCCTGAGGACCGAGATAGCCCGGCTGCAGATGGAGCTGATGGAGTACCGGACGGTGAGGTGGAGCCGCTCTCAGATGGTCAACGGGAGATGATTTTACGGCGCTCAACTGTCCTGTGTGATGCTCAGGGGAAGCGTGTGGTGGGCGAGGACGGCATTGAAGGCATCAACGACTTGGTCCACGAGAACTCCATGTTGCAGACGGAGAACAACAACCTGAGGGTGAGAGTGAAGGCCATGCAGGAGACCATCGACGCCCAGAAGAGCAGACTGACGCAGGTCCTCAGCGAGCAGGCCAGCCAGGCTCTGGCCAGAGCAGGTACCATATTTTTCGCCCTATAAGTCGTGTTTTTTTTTTTGCATAATTTGTATTTTCTGCGAATTATACGCTCAAGTGACTTATTTATGATTTTTTCCCCATATTTATAAACCAATTTTTTACTGAGATACGACCGTTTTCATTCATTCTGACTGAAAATATTAAACACTACCATTTTCAGACGCTAGATGGCACCAGAGTAGTATAGCATGCAATGTTGTCATGTAATAGATAAGGTGGCTATTAACAACTATAGACTGCCACCTTCATCCAGCTCGCTTGCATCGCCCCGGCGAAATGCAGCTAATTTGACCATTGAAGTGCATTTATTAAGTATAAGTTCAACCTTTACTATAATTTCGAGCAAACAAATAATTGTTTTACGTGTTAATCTGTTAAATTCTTGGTAAAGACCTCCCGTGCACGCTCCAGCGGCCGCCATTCGGCAGCCAATCGCTTTTTGGTACAACACTATCCCACATTGCCAGGTTGTCAGAGGTGACCCATAATAGATGTGACTTATGTCCGTGAACTTTCTCTTGTCCCGTCCATAGCTTCTGATCCGCTCTAGATAATTTAATAAAACTTTGTACATCATCACTAGACAGAGTGTCATCCTGTACACTCTTTGTCACCCCCCCTCAAAGTTCAAAGTCTTTGCTTATCCGGGTCGTTGCTGTAGCTTGATGGGCGTGTAATGAGCCGTATGCAGAACTTGTGTTCGTTCTGGGTTGGGTTGAACTTCCTTTGAGAACTGAGAGTCGTTCCTCTTCTTGTAGGTGAGGGCAACGAAGAGATTGGCAACATGATTCAGAACTACATCAAGGAAATCGAAGAGCTCAGGTGAGCCAAGAACGGTGGGCAATAATGTTGGAGTCGCCGAGTTACATTTTTGTGTGGTAGTAGCTGAGAGTCACCCACAACCCACTCTGAGCGAGACCAAGCAGCGTGTTCTTGGAACTAAATGTCTCGTCTGTGCTCGTCTCAGAGCGAAGCTTCTGGAGAGCGAGGCCGTGAGCGAGAACCTGAGGAAGAGTCTGTCCTGGGCTGCCACTCGCTCCTCGCTGTACGGAAGCCCCGCCTCCTTCTCCTCGGCCATCTTCGCTCCAGAGAAGGAGGCCAGCAACGTCATCGAGATGGCCAAGAAAGACCTGGAGAAACTCAAGAAGAAGGAGAAGAAGAAGAAAAAGAGGTGGGGAGGGTTCTTCTTTTTGCTGACTCAGCATTCACACGATTGTTGTCCTGTTTTTTATTTTATGTACGTTCATTGCAACCTAACCACTGCTGCATACTTTGTGCTATTTTAGCTGTTCATATATCAAAACGTTCGGCTCATTCAGGAGATGGAGGCTCACACTTCTGGTTTTTTAACATTTGTTCTTTTATAAATATTTAACTTTATTTACAGTTTAGGATCTTTTCAGATGGTTGCAAAATATTCTCATTAAAGTCTGCTTCAGAAGGCTTCTTCTACTTTCTGTCTTCTTCTGCTACTTTTAGTTTTAAGCTACTCTTATGCTGCTTATAGCCTTTAGCTGAACTTTTGATTATTTTCACTTTTACTTGTGTCTTTGCTTTTAGCTTTTGGGTTTGGACTAACCTTTTGCAGCTTGTAACTAACATTTTTGCTACTTTTAGCATAGGTTTTGCCTTGCCTTTAGCTACTTTGAACATTTAATTGCTCTTTTAACCTTTTTTGCTAGTTTGGCTACTTTTAGCTTTTACATAGTCTTTTGTTTTATAAGTTTTTAGCTGTGTTTTTGCTATATTTTAGCATTTAGCTACACTACTCTATTTTTAGCTCTACTGTAGCTTTTTCCGCTTTTGCATTTAAGCTAACCTTTTGCTACTTCTAGTTTTGACATAGCCTCTTTCTTTAGCTTTTAGCTGTGCTTTTGCGATCTTTTAGCATTTAGCTACACTAATCTATTTTTAACTAGCTTTTTCCACTTTTAAGTTTAAGCTAACCTTTTGCTACTTTTAGCATAGATTTTTCCTTGCCTTTAGCTAGTTTGAGCTTTTCCTCTTTTAACCTTTTAGCTAGTTTGGCTACTTTTAGGTTTTACATAGTCTTGTTTTTTAATTTTTTTGCTGTGTTTTTGCTATATTTTAGCGTTTAGCTACAGTATTCTATTTTTAGCTAGCTATTTCCACTTTTGTGTTTAAGCTAACCTTTTGCTACTTTTGGCTTTTACATAGCCTTTTGGTTTTTTTTTAAGCTTTTATCTGTGCTTTTACTATCTTTTAGCATTTAGCTACACTAATCTATTTTTAGCTAGCTATTTTTCTACTTTTAGGTTTAAGCTAACCTTTTGCTACATTTAGCATGGATTTTGCTTTGCCTTTATCTAGTTTGAGCTTTTCCTTTTCCTTTTTTAACCTTTTAGCTAGTTTGGCTACTTTTAGGTTTTACAGTCTTTTGTGTTTTTAATTTTTCGCTGTGGTTTTGCTATATTTTAGCATTTAGCTATAATACCCTATTTTTAACTAGCTTTTTCCACTTTTGCATTTAAGCTAAACTTTTGCTACTTTTAACTTTTACATAGCCTTTTTTTTTAGCTATTAGATGTGCTTTTGCTATCTTTTAGCATTTAGCTACACTAATCTATATTTAGCTAGCTTTTTCCACTTTTAGGTTTAAGCTAAAGTTTTGCTGCTTTTAGCTTTTACATAGCCTTTTGTTTTTTTTAGCTTTTAGCTGTGTTGCTATCTTTTACTGTTTAGCTACACTACTCTATTTTTAGCTACTTTTTCCACTCTTAGGTTTAAGCTAACCTTTTGCAGCTATTATCTTCTATCCATCATTTTGCTACATTTGACTTTTTGTCAGCTTTTTCGTACATTTAGGTTTGAGCTAGCATCTTTCTGCTTTGTGCTAGCATTCTGCTGTTCTTAGCTTTTATCTAGCATTATGCTAAATTTGTTTTTAACAGGTTCTGCTTCTTTTAACATGAACATCTCAGTTTTAGCTTCTTCAGCCGTCACTGTCACAGGAAATGTTCCTTTTGTTTGTTGACATCTTCAGACTCTTGTCTCCATGACGACCAGCTTTAGATCTGATCGTCATGACGATTCAACGGGAAATCAAATCAATATTTTCCACACATGTGACTCTATAAGAGCCTGACTCCATCTCTCTGTCCCTCTGTCCCGTCTTGTAACTGTTACCTGCCCGCTCCCTCGTCTGTTTCTGAAGGCTGAGGCGATTCGAGGAGAATCGGGACCGTGAGGTTGAGCTCGCCAGGTTTGCTCCACTCAGACTAGTTTAACTACCAGCTGGGATCTGATTGAGGATGATTCTCATCGTCGCTGACCCAAATCTTCCCTAAGTTACCCAGAACTAACTAACCTGTTCTGCACCTGCAGGTGGTTTTCACTCCTGAAGGGAGGCAGATTCCCTAACCAGCTCCTCTAATCCAACAGTTTGTCCTTTTTCCTGAACGATGTTGACCAGATCTATTTGTTGACGTCAGGCTTAGATTAAAGGAATAGTTTCAAGTGGCTTTCTGTGGTCTTACCTGTTGTAGATAGTTACCGACGCTTCTGTGCGGACAGGTCATCTACTCATCAGAACCCCAGTCCGTATTCTGACTGACAAGCCAACTGCTACTTTGAGCAGAACCAAAACAAAAGAGGAAGTCCAAACAACTCGAGTCCAGTTGAGATGAAGCGATGTAAACGAGCCGTTAGCTCATCTCTCTGGTCGGATTTGAACTTTTTTTTTTTTTCAAGCTTAGGCAGCATGGGAGCTTGATCTAACGAGTGTAAAACGCCACCCAATTGGAATGTGGACCCAAGTACCCAGAATGCAATGCAGCATGATGTCATGCAGCAACTACTCTGACAAGATGGAGAGCTAACAGCTAGTCCAAGCAGAACCAAGACCGAGAAGTGTCTAAAACAGCCCCATTCTGAGCACTTTCGCAGCCTAGCTGCTTAATAAACATGGCTGCACCAGAAGTGCTACAGCTAGCTGCTGCTGCAGATAACCATAGAAATAAGCGTGTATTTATTTTGAGACATTTGTTGCTTTTTGACAGCAGGTTTTGGCTAAATAGATAAAACTGATTAGCCGTCAGCTCGTCTGTTTAGTCAGATTTAACTTTCCAAACTGAGGCCGCTTGGATGGTTATCTGCAACAGGTAAGATACTGTTTATAACTTTTCTGCAGAAGCGCATTTTAGGAGATCATAACTGTTATTTAAAGGCTGAAATTTTGTCTTAGTTCCAAGTAAAATGAGTTGATTTAGTGCTTGATGAGTGTGTTTGCAGCGTGGCAGCCTTTCTTTCAGGAGTGTGGCTCTAACGATCCATCCTAACCATCTCCCCCCCCCGTGGTTCTGGTGTCATTCATTAATCAACTCTGACCTCACATCTGCTCCTGAACTGATGAGGCATCCAATCATTTGCATGTCCATTTTATTTTGAAATCGTGGTTTTAAATTCAGATCTGGATCCTCTGTGTCAGGCAGCTAAAGCCGTTTTCCTCTTTCAGCGTCAAAGACGAGGTCCCGGACAACGACCAAGAAAGAGGCAACGAGGAGGCGGAGGGGGTAGGTGGAAATATCACTTCTAAACTGTCGTGCTCGAAACGTATTAGAGCTGCAGCGGCCATCTTGAATAGAGCTGACAGTTGTGCATCAATAATGTTTTGTTAAAATCTCATCTAGTGGTTCATGAGATGTTTTTCCAACAAAACAATTGCTTATTTATTTATTTATTTACGTTTGCTTTTAATCCCACAGGAGGGCAGCGGTCACGAAGACGGCGAGGATGTCGACGGAGAAGACGAGGACTTCGACCTGGAAGGAGACGAAACGTCCGATGAGTCTGACTCTGAAGAACTGGAAGAGAAAGGTAGAACCAGAGAAACCGTAATGGAAGATGATTGACAGCTGAATTTATTTAATAAAAATCTCAAATTGAGTGTTTGGAAAAGCCAAAAATAATAAAAAGCTAGCTAATTGATAAAAGCTTAATGTAGCATAAATTTTTCTATAAGTCAAATTAGAGAAAGACTAGTTAAAGAATAGCTAAAGATATCAAAATGCTAGCTAAAAGCTAAAAAATATATATATTGGAATGGAAGCTAGAACCAACAAAGATCAAATTAGCAAAGGATTGAATGAAAGCTAAAAGTAGCAAAATGCTAACTAAAATCAGCAAAAGGTTTGCTAAAAACTAAAATCTCTAAACGATAGCTAAAAAAAAAAAAAGCAAAAATGCTTCTAGCTAAAAGATAAAAATATTCTAATGCAAGCTAATAGACAAAAGCAATAAAAAGCTAGCTAAGTAGCAAACGTTTGGTTAACGCTTAAAATGGCAAAAAAAAAAAAAAACTAGCTCAACGTCACAAAAGTTTTGGTAAAATCGAAAATAACCAAAGGCTAGCGAAAAGCAAAGAGTATTGCAAGTCTGGCTGATCGGTAAAAGTGGCAACAAACTAGCTAAAAGCCAAAAATGGTGCACCACTTGAGAAAAGCTAAAAGTAGCACAAGGTTTGCTGAAAACAAAAGTAGCAAAAGGCTAACTGAAAGGTAAAAATAAACAAAAAGCTAGCACAACTTAGCAAAATATTTGTTAAGAGCTTAAAGTATCAAAAGGCTATCTAGAAGCTAAGAGTATCACAAGTCTGGTTAAGTAATAAAAGTAGCAAAACGCTAGCTAAAAGTTAAAAAAGCACAACACTTGATGAAACCTTAAGGAGCAGAAGTCTATAGTTAAAAAGAATAGCTAAAAGTATCAAAAGGTTATCTTAACAGCTGAAAATATTAGAACGCAAGCTAGAAGCTAAAAGTAACACAAGGATGACTTAAAGCTCAAAATTGCTAAGCTAAAAGTATCAAAATGCTAGCTAAAAGTAGCAAGAGGTTTGTTAAAAGCTAATGTGTCAAAGGCTAGAAGCTTAGAGGCTCGCAAATGTAGCTAAATGATAAAATTAGCAAAAAGCTAGCTAAAAGCTAAATGTGGCATAATATGATCAAAATAGAGCCTGAACCCTGAAACAGATTTAACAGAGTTAAAGAGATTTCTGTGCATTTCTAAGAAAAAATATTTGTAACTGAAGGTAAATATTTAGAAAAGTATAAAAGTTACAAAAACTAACAGTCATCTGTCTCCTGAAAGACAAAAAATGTACAAATATACAAAAGTAGTCGTTACTTTTCTGTCGTCTTCCTTCGGACAGTTTGTGTTTAAGCCTGAGGTCAGAATCATCCGACTGTGTTTGCGTGCAGAAAACGTCCAGGCCGATCTGGCCAACATCACCTGTGAGATCGCCATCAAGCAGAAGCTCATCGATGAGCTGGAGAACAGCCAGCGGCGCCTCCACACCCTCAAACAGCAGTACGAGCAGAAGCTCATGATGCTGCAGAACAAGATCCGGGACACCCAGCTGGAGAGGGACAAAGTGCTGCACAACATGGGTAAAAACAAAAAGTCATCTCTGGTAGTATCCGTCTTCAGGCTTTAAATGAATTTACACTCCTTCCTTTGAACTCCAGGCTCAGTGGAGTCGGGTACAGAGGAAAAGGCTAAAAAGATAAAAGTGGAGTACGAGAAGAAGCTGAGCTTCATGAACAAGGAGCTGCAGAAGCTCCAGGCGGCTCAGAAGGAGCACGCTCGCCTCCTGAAGAACCAGTCCCAGTACGAGAAGCAGCTCAAGAAGCTCCAGCAGGACGTGGCGGAGATGAAGAAGACCAAAGTAGCGTCATCTTTAAACACAAACTCATTCTCTGTCGAAGCTGCTGCTCGGCTCGTTTTATTAAATCTGTTGTTCTGCACCCGTCCACCAGGTGGCGCTGATGCGACAGATGAAGGAGCAGCAGGAGAGGAGCAGGGTCTCGGAGACCAGGAGGAACAGAGAAATCGCCTCGTTGAAGAAGGAGCAGCGCAGAGCCGAGGCATGACGGACCTCAAACACCCAAAGACGATTATTTCGGATATTAAAGAACAAATATTAAGATCCTTCGTTTTCTTATCAGCACCAACTGAAACAGCTGGAGGCCCAGAAGAGACAACAGGAGCTGATCCTCCGCAGGAAGAACGAGGAGGTAATGTCCTTTAACAAGACCAGTGGGGGCACACTGCAGACACAGGACACCAGCCAAAAGTAGCAAAAGGCTAGCTAAAAGTACAATTGTAGCTAAAAGAAGCAAAAGCTTAATTAAAACTAAAAGTATTCAATTAAATTTCGATTCAGTTTATTTGTATAGCACCAAGTCACAACAGAAGTCGTGACAGGGCACTGACCAGAAACAATAAAGTAGCAAAATGTAAATGTAGTAGCAAAATGCTAGCTTCAATTAACAAAAGCTAATTGATTACTAAAAGATTACTAAAAGCTGAAAGTAAAAAAACACTAGCTAAAAGTTACCAGTAGCAGAAATGTAGATAAACATAGCAAAAGACTAGCTAAAAGTTAAACATTGCATATCAAGGCTAAAGTAGCAAAATTCTAGCTAAAACTAAAAGTAATGAAAACATTTGCTAAATCTTAAATGTAGCGGAATGATAGCTAAAAGTAAATGAATGATAGCTAAAAGTAAATGAATGATAGCTAAAAGTAAATGAATGATAGTTAAAAGTAAATGAATGATAG